CTGCTCCTGCGCCGGGTACCGAGCAGAACCAGGCAAAGGGTTCTTTGTTAGACACCTTTTTACTGAACATTTGCAAAACACAACAAATGTACGACCCAGAGCCTGCAAGGTCCCCTTCCCTGCAGCCCACCGAGCTGACAACTCTGCCAGCCTCTGAATCTCCTTCCCATAATGAAATCAGTGAAACAAGACAGCAGTAGGATGAAGCAGAGTCAAGAGTTAAGGCTGCACGAGATTGGAGAATCCTACAGTCCGCAAACTATTTCAAAGAGGAGGAGAAGGAAAAAAATTGCTCAGGTTAAGTGCAAGGTATGACTTTCAACAGTGGCTAGTGATTGCTAGCTAGGCCTTAAACAGGGATATTACATCCTTATAATTCAACATATTAATGATTTTGTGTTCCCATAGTATGGAAGCCGTTTCGTTGCCACATGAAATAGTCCAGGTCACTGTAGCTCCCGGGACACATTTCATTATCTTGTTACACCTCGTTCGGTGTAACACGTAGCTAATTAAAAGTAGTAGTAGTTTAGCACGAGGCAACTCTGCAATTCCGCCATCGTGGTTTTGAAATAATTGCGCCCTAACACCCTAGCGATGTGACAAACCCACCTGGTTTTAGCATCCATTAATGTTTCCCACCCTTCAGCCATCCCGAACCTTATACCTACATATTTCTTCTTTTTATATCAGCGCCTTCTGAAAAAAGCCGTTCAGAAAGCAATGTTCTGCTATCTCATTTGGAATGAGAGCCCCCTGAAGAGACATACATTGAGTATTACCAGGAACACATGACTCAGTGCCCTCTAGATCTCTTCATAAAAGGAAAGGGGAGAAAAGCCAAAGAGCCATTGCACGGATTTCAATAAACATTGCGAAAGAGAAGTAGCCCAGAAGGAGAATTGCCAGTGTTCCTGTGCCCTTGCCAGAGGACAGTCGGAGCTGGGTGCGGACACCAGCAAAGTTAGAACCTCCTGTGAAGCAGGCAGCTTTGTTTCTATGGATTTCTCCTTAAAATTTCCAACCACAATTCCCTCCGGCTCAGTTGCTAACAGCAATGCCAGCTACAGGTGTCCACGGCTTTGAGTGGTCATTAGCATTTTAAGTAGCAGATCATTAGCTGTGCGGACACAGAGAAAAGTTTCTGGTGTTTCAGCAATGCCAGGCCCCTGGTCCCAGCTGGAATCGAGGAATGCAGCAGCAAAGCCTCTTTTTTGTGCTTCTAAAGGCCTCGGGTCAGTTTTGGGGTGAAGGAGGGGGGAACGTGTGCATCAGTTCTTGTTTCATCTGAAGAGAGGCACTTCTCTGCAGCAGGGGAGTTACTGCCCTGGCAGTGGGGATGGCCAGCTGTTCGCAGCATCAGCCGGCTGATTCTGAGCTTGCGAGCAGGCTTAAAAGTGGCTCAAGACCCATGCATAAACATGACATTGCTTCACCAGGAGCTTTCCATCACAGTGGAAACGATGCTTCCCCCAGCATCGTTATGACAGCGCTATTTGTGCTGGTACAGATAAGCATCTGTCACTGTTTCCATTAGAATCTCCTATTTTCCTGGGATCATAGCTCAGCCATAAAAAACATAGCGTAGAGGCAGAAAGTTGACACACAAGGTCTCAGGCTGAGTGATCACTGTTGTCCTTTTTTCCCCCCCTTTCTAATCTGAAGAAGAAAATAACGTATTTCTGCAGAGACACACCTGACCACTACAGTTCGATCCAGCCATCGATTTATTTAGCAATAGCGGTGGCCGCCTTTCAACATTCGATCTTAATTACTGCATTAGGGATGATCAGGAAGAACCTGAGGTAAGCGGGTTTGGGGTTTTAGAGCCTATTGCTAGAGAACAGGCCCCCGTGAGGACTAAGGGCTTTGGAGATTCTGATCTTTGCCAGATGATGAAATGATAAATTGAAGAGTGTAGAAATAACAATTGAATATTATAGAAACTGAATACTGCTAGGAACTAAAGGCGTAGAGGACGCCTTTGGGGTCAAGTAGCAGAGGGAAAAGCAAGGCCAGCATTGCAGTTTCCCTAGCGAGATCGGCAGCACAAAATCCCACCCCATGAATCCAGCATCAGCGCTCGGTGTTTTGACTGCTTTAGGCAAACTTCCACCCTGTGCCCTTGCTGCGGTTGCCTATGGGATAGTGACAACCCCGTCCCGTGGGGCAGCAATGCTGGGAGCCCACCAAACCCATCCTGACACTGCCAGCTCGGGGACAAACCGAGAGCACCATTTTGCCAGGAGGAGGAGGCGGCAGTAGTTTGGGGATAAGGACAGTACAATAGCATTCTTCCTTTTTTCCCTCTTAAGCGCCTTTTCTTTCTGTTCGCACATTTTGTAAGAATAATTGCAGCTCAAAAAGTTTTTCTTTGTACATTAGGAGGATGGTATAAGACAGTCCTGAAGAGAACAAACCCTGAAAACACATTCTGCAAAACTTCTATTCAAGCTTTAAAGGACCTAAAAAGAAAAAGTTAGATGATCATTTCTCGCCTGTTAAAACACAGATCCTACTTCTGACCTCTTGAGAATACGCTCAAGTTCTGCATTTTCAACCGGACTTCTCTTTCATGGTGTACAGGAGGAGCAGGCATGGGCAATGTGTCTCTACATTGAATTGGAAATCTGCTGTTTACCGAGACCCGTGTGTTTGACTGTGAAATCTAACGCCATTCTGCCGCTACTAGTGCTTTGCTTTCCAATTGCAGACAATTTTGCATTAGACGTAGCTTCGCCTAGTCGTGTTTCTGAAAAATGATGACGTGCTCTACAGCTGGGATTGCTCAACACTTCTTGAAGGTTAGGCCTTGCTAAACATGGGCATCTTGGCACCTGAAACCAACGGACCAAAAATACAGTTATTTTCACTGTCTGTCTCAAATTAAGAGCACAAATGGGCATACTAAGTTTGGAAAACATGGAAAAGGAAACACCAGAAAAGATGAATGTATAATAAACATTTTAGTACACAATGACACCACCAGAAGCAGCTGAGTAAGAGAGGACTTGCAGCTTAAAGCAGCTGGGAGGTGGAGTGGGGAGAAAAAATAAAGGGGAATGGAAAATTGTGCTTTTCTATTTCACGCCATCTTTTAGCAGAGGTGCCACTTTGCTGTGCAGGTTTTCAAGCATCCTTAGACATGTTTTTAGCTAACAAATCTGCCACCTGAACATGAGCCAGCAGTGTGCCCAGGTAGCCAAGAAGGCCAGTAGCATCCTGGCTTGTATCAGGAATAGTGTGGCCAGCAGGACCAGGGAGGTGATTGTCCCCCTGTACTGGGCACTGGTGAGGCCGCACCTCGAGTCCTGTGTTCAGTTTTGGGCCCCTCACTACAAGAAGGACATGGAGGTGCTGGAGCGTGGCCAGAGGAGGGCAACGAAGCTGGTGAAGGGTCTGGAGCACAAGTCTTATGAGGAGCGGCTGAGGGAGCTGGGGTTGTTTAGCCTGGAGAAGAGGAGGCTGAGGGGAGACCTTATTGCTCTCTACAACTACCTGAAAGGAGGCTGTAGCCAGGTGGGGGTCGGTCTCTTCTCCCTAGTAACGAGTGATAGGACGAGAGGAAACGGCCTCAAGCTGCGCCAGGGGAAGTTTAGGTTGGATGTTAGGAAAAACTTCTTCACCGCAAGGGCAGTCAGGCACTGGCACAGGCTGCCCAGGGAAGTGGTTGAGTCTCCATCCCTGGAGGTATTTAAAAGAAGGGTAGACGTGGTGCTCGAGGACACGGTTTAGTGGTGGACTTGGCAGTGCTAGGTTAACGGTTGGACTCGATGATCTTAAGGGTCTTTTCCAACCTTAATGATTCTATGATCTGTCCCCAGTCCTCAAACCTGTCCAGAGATCTATCCGTTTGTCCCAGTGGTTGGCTCCCACTGAGCTTTTTGTAAGCTGTTTTGAGTAAAATCCTTGAGCTTTCATGGGGTAGCAGAAATTACTCTTTACAGTAGCCCCCGTGACTGGGCTGGTTCAGACCCTATTGGTGTAAAAATAAATTTTAACGCCTCCTTTTGTATCTTGACAGTTTTATTTTCACACTTTGTACAATTCTTCCTTTCTGTTTCGAAACAGGTATTTTGTGACGCTAATCAAGTTGTACAAGCCACAGACGTGCTGGACTGGGAAGACAAGGATGCTGCAGAGACATTGGTCGACAACGTGGTCCATTCCAGGATCATCAATCCTTTACGCCTGTTTGTTAAGCCGTCTCCAGTACTGAAACACGGCCAGGTGTCCTACTCGGACAGCTTAGAAAACTTTTGGGATTGGTTGTCCAACATCACGGAGGTTCAGGAATCTCTCGCACGAACTAAACGCAGGCCTATAGTAAAAACTGGGAAATTCAAGAAAATGTTTGGATGGGGCGACTTCCACTCTAACATCAAAACTGTTAAGCTGAACCTCCTGATCACAGGGAAAATCGTCGATCACGGCAATGGGACCTTCAGTGTTTATTTCCGACATAACTCCACAGGTCTGGGAAATGTTTCTGTAAGCCTGGTGCCACCTTCCAAGGTGGTTGAGTTTGAATCATCTCCACAGTCAACACTGGAGACCAAGGAATCCAAGTCCTTCAATTGCCGAATTGAGTACGAGAAAACAGACCGTGCTAAAAAAACTGCCTTGTGCAATTTCGACCCTTCAAAGATCTGCTACCAAGAGCAGACTCAAAGCCATGTCTCCTGGTTGTGTTCCAAACCATTTAAAGTTATCTGCATTTACATCGCTTTTTACAGCGTAGATTACAAACTGGTGCAAAAGGTCTGTCCTGATTATAACTACCATAGTGAGACCCCGTACTTGTCCTCTGGCTGATACAGTCGTGGGTAACTGTAGAGATACAGCATCAGTCATAAAAAATACGCGTTTCCATTAACCTTTTGGAGAAGAATATGTTTTCCTATCAGGTTAAAAAGTCTTTAAAAACTGTAGCTGTGTTTGTGCTGTATCGTAAATAATCAAACTATTTATGTAACAATCGTTTTCATTTGAGACCATTGCATTTTAGCACTCTCATCATTAATGAGGGAACTACCAGGGAGACACAAGACAAAAATCAAACAAAATTATGTCTATAATGAACACCGATCTTGAAAATCAGTTTTTTAAACTAGACTCGATGGCAGAGAAGTTGTCTTTTACTTGAATTGGATGGCACTTAGGATCCTATTTCTCATCGGGAACTTTAGAAGATGACAATTCAAAGAACCAACGATGAGGCAGACTCCCAGCTGCTGATGTACGAAATCCAAGTAAACAGCTCTCCCACTAATTTCATAAAGAATGTTACGTACACAAGGCTCAAGGAATCAAGTCCAAATACTAAGAGAAAGTACTATTTCTAGGAGGAAAAAAAAAAAAAAGGGAAAAAAGGAAAGGAATGTGAGTTGTAGTAGTTGTACATATTCATTGAAGAGTGAGTAGTTCTTCCTTCAGACTTCCCACCCGTGGGTACGCAATGATGTAATTAGCCATTGATGAGCTTTAGTTCATTAGACCCACCAGGTGCGCGGGTTTGGTGTACATTTCTTCCTTCCATGGTCACCATCGGTTCTGACTCTTCCCAAACGTTTACACGTACACCAGTACTAGTTTTACAGTGATAGAGAATGCACATACCTTGGAAAAAGATAATCTCTGTTTAAGTCTGATGATAACAGGGGCTGATTTCCAGTTAACAGAAGTAATTATCTTGCTATCTAGCCTTCTTAGCACTGCGCTGTAGCAAGGAAAATACATCACAGCGTAAGGACGATACCTGAACAACACAAGCTTTCTGCTTAACGGCACCCAGTTGTCTTCCTTAGCATTGCATTGCATACCTTAAGTCAAAATACAAGCAACGACAAATAAAGAGGGCAACAAAAATCTATGCATCTTCGCCTCATAAAGCGGATGTCAAACAATTGCTATCAATATAAAAATGTTCAGCCAGCCTTTCCCCTAGTGCAGAACAGCATCGCTCCGCTGTAGGGAGTTACAGGAACGGAGGGCCCGGTTGTGGTTTGGCGTTGCTCCTGCTGCAGCCGACAGCGGTCAGCACCAGCGGTGCAGCTTCAGGCATCGAGCCCCGGCGCCTTCGGTGGGTATCAATTTTGCTGCTGCCGCCAATTTGCTATCATAGCCCTTTGTGACGGTTCGATATCGCGGGTCCTGTGGAGGAGGCTGGCTGAGGAAGGTCTGGAGCACAAGTCTTATGAGGAGCGGCTGAGGGAGCTGGGGTTGTTTAGCCTGGAGAAGAGGAGGCTGAGGGGAGACCTTATCGCTCTCTACAACTGCCTGAAAGGAGGCTGGAGCCAGGTGGGGGTCGGTCTCTTCTCCCTAGTAACGAGTGATAGGATGAGAGGAAGCAGCCTCAAGCTGCGCCAGGGGAAGTTTAGGTTGGATATTAGGAAAAACTTCTTCACCGCAAGGGCAGTCAGGCACTGGCACAGGCTGCCCAGGGCAGTGGTTGAGTCTCCATCCCTGGAGGTATTTAAAAGAAGGGTAGACGTGGTGCTCGAGGACACGGTTTAGTGGTGGACTTGGCAGTGCTAGGTTAACGGTTGGACTCGATGATCTTAAGGGTCTTTTCCAACCTTAACGATTCTATGATTCTTATTGCATACAATCAAACTTACACGCAGGGTCCAAGAAGTTAGGTACAGCTTAAATAAAGTGCTATTAAAATGCTCTGTTCAAGTGGTGTGCACCCAGGCAAGGGACTGTGACAGCTCAGAAGGACTCACTCAGGAGATTAACTCTGATTTCCTTGGTAAAGTCTCATACAAAAAAATTACTGTTAAAAATACACAAGTAACCAGCTGATTTGTTTTTCTCTTTAGGTGACAAATTTAAATGTGTGGTTTAGTTTGATCAATAATCTAAATGTTTTCCTTCATCTTATTTCATACAGAGTCGCTCCTGGTCTAAATGCTGGGGTTTAGTTTGTCTCTTACTGTCGATGCCTACAAGCTGGTCTACTTCGTATTCCGTATAGCACGTCCTCGTTCGGCTGTACATAAGCTTGGATTTATTGCTATGGGTTCAGTGGTTGGTGCTTTTGTAACTTAGCTGTAAGCCATGATTTTATTGCCATGTTATTTTTACTCAGCACTGTAGGCAATTAAAAAAAAAAAACCCTACATGCTATTTATTGTAGAGTAGGTGGAAATCATGTATGTATATACACTTAAATAGGTGTACATATACCGAATCTATGTGTACATGTATTTGTATGTAAATAAAGAGAGTTTGCTAAATCTGGCACTTGCTTATGGCATTTTTTTTTTAAATGTTACTTTGTGTCTTTATGTCTACAAAACTAAGGCACTACAACAGATCACTGAACTTTTTTCCCCAGCTGGAATTTGTTTTTCTCGGAGATATTCAAGTACGCACGGCAGCAAACTGCACTACAAGCCTAGGCAGAGGAGGTTCAATAGCATGTCGCGATATTCGAGAAACGAAGCGCGTGTTTTGACGAGGACTATCGTGAACTGTTTAATAATTGTGCAAGGTACATTCAAGGTAGAGGGGGTAGTGCAAATTACAGAGCCCAGGCCAGCCACCCGCGAGCAGGCCCGCGCGGGGCGATGCGGCAGCCCGCCGCGGTTCGGCCCTCGCTCAGTGTCCCATCGAAGTCCTCCCGGGCTGGGCTTTCCAGACCTCAGGAGGACAAACCAGGGCCGCGAGCGAGCAAACATCACCCCAGGAACACCCGGGCCACGTGGGGATGCATCGGGAAAGGCTGCTGTGACTCCAGAGAGAAGTATTTTAATAGGTTTAACACCTGAGCTTCTTGAACATGGAGAAGACACTCACCCGGCCGGCAGCTTTTGACTTAAAACAACTCTCGAGCTGTTCAAGCGAGGCACAGGCTGGTGCTGCACCATCGGAGCGGCACTGGGTACAGGGAGCCCAGGACGGCAGGAGGAGAGGGTCAGCCCGGGCCCCGTGGGTCCCGCCGCCCCGGGAGCCGGCAGCCCCTCCCCCGGGGGGGGGGGCTCTCG